TGGCTGTGGTTCCAAGATAAGTGCCAAGGACTAATGAGGACCATCAGGTTCTGGGCAGGGCCAAGGAGTGGGTGTGGGGGACATTCAGGAAGCCTTAACCCCACACTCACTGCCTCGCCTGCCCAAGCCTCAGCCTACATGGGGCACTGGCCCTGGGTTTCCTGTTTTGAGGTTGGATTCTACTGGTTGGAACTCACACTCAGGAAAGGAAAAAGGTGGGGACCACAAAGTGGGTATTTTCCCAAAGGCGGAGAGAGGAGAAAGAACTGAAAGGGGAGGTTGAAAAGCCAGGGGGCTTTCCAGCAAGGAGGGATTTTTCAAGCACAAGGAAGGAAGAGCAGGGCCAGAGGTGAAGCATGAGACAGAGATAAGAGAGGTGCTGGGAAGTTGGAGTGAAAGGGCAGCCGATGACTCTCACTGTTCCTCCATCCCCTTGAACTTGATCCAAGGAAAGGTAAAAGGTTCAAAAGCTATGTGTTTTGAAGCGGTATCAGTGGGCACTTGTGGTTGGATCCATGTGATACAGACAACCTGAAGCGTATATGGGTGGGTGTGAGCTCTCTGTATTAGTTTAAGAATGTACGTGTATGGTGTGTGTGTGTGTGTGTGCCCGCCTGTCTGCAGAGCTGTGTGGTCTTCTCCTTGTGTATCAGTGTGCTCATATCCATGTGTTGGGCAGGTATCTGGGCATGTGTCTGGCTCTCTCTGTGTCTTGGTGTTTCCGTGTGAGAGGAGGAGAGCTGGGGGCAGCTGTCAGGCTGCATAATGAAGCTACTCCAGGGAGCAATTGGGCATTTGCCTAGCCACCTATGGGTGCAGTGAATGCCTCTCCCTCCCAAACAGAACACATGGTCTGATAAGTTAAAGTAGACTCGAGGGGACCATGGGACAGCATATTTTAAAATGGGACCATTGCCCATGGGGTAAACTCTATTCATATTTCTGTTGGGAGACATAAAGGCTCTGGAAACTGTTTCTTGGCCTGGCATCTCAGTGAGATGTAAAGTTTCTGATGGGGGTGAGGGCAGAGCTTCTATTTCCCTCCGGCTGGCAGACAGAAAGGGCATCCACCCTGCAGGCGGATTCACCTAAGCCAATGCTTCTCCTCTTGGGAAGCCCCTTCTCACCCCTCACTGCTTCCCCAGGACTTCTGTTGTTCCATTGCCCCTCTCTGCAGTTTACTTTCTCAGCTGGGGAGACTTAGCCTGGAAATGAAGAGAGGTGAGCAATGGAGTGTCCAAGTCCAAATGTTGAGGTAGAGAGGGGCTGTAGAGGGGACACTGGTTCATTCGTCTACATGGGATGCTTTAATCCTGAGTCCGCCAAGGAGTTTCAATCCCATGTCTGGGGCTAAGGTAAGGAGTGACAAGAGAGCTTGGAAGCGAAGTACCTCAGATCCAGGTCCAAAAAGTTACCTTAGAGATATGCTTTCCTTTTTTCCCAGAACATTAGCTCCAGTTTCAAGTTCAACCTGAGGGGGATTAGAAAGCCAGGTTGCAGGCAGTCTGGTGAAACTTTCCAGGAATGGTTGTCCTGGCAGAGGACTGGGGGCGAGATGGAGGGGGGCAGTCAGGTCCCCCAGCCCCAATCAAACTCTGGGAAGCAAGGGCCCCACAAAAGGGGGCAGAAGGACGGGAGACTGGATATACTTCTTTCCCACAAGAGTTATATTGAGTTATATTGTTTCCCACAAGGAGACACCCTTGGGTGGGCGGCATGGTGAGGTCCACGTCGCCCCTTGAGGTACCAGGTGCAGGAGATACCAGAGGAACAGCTCTTATACACACACATCCCAGCAGCAGCGAGAACAGCAAAAAGGAAGCAGCCAAACGACACGGATAATCCAGATATATTGAGGGTGGCCCCTCTGCGATTAGCACAGGAGAGTTAGAAAGATTATAAAGATACACGATCCCCTCCCTGCTGCCTTTCCCCCACCCACCCACAGACAGACACACACAGCACAACTGCCCCTTGCTCCCCCGCCCCCCGTACAAATATGGCTTCTGTGTAATATGGACAGAGTGGTTCAGCTCGAAGAGGAAAAGTCATTTTCCCAAAACGTGGGTGCTGGGAGACAGGGAGCCCAACAGGCCTGGGTCCCAGGCTCCCTTGCTGCTGTTAGAGAAGGGGGCCCTGGCTTGGGTAAGGGGCTGCCTGTGGTGCCCAGGGCCCTAACCACTGGCAGGAAGATTCCACAGTGGTATTACCTGAACTGAGGGAGTGGGCAGATCTGCTGGGGTGCAGCTGCCCCCGTTTTGCATGCCCATTTGTCAGAGCAAGGAGGACATGCTGGAGGAGGGTGAGAGCAGTGCCGAGGGGCATTCTGGGTCTGAGGGGGGCAGGCCGGCTGGGACAGGGAGGGGGAGCAACCTTATCTCCACTGCAACCAGCTCCAGGCCGGGGAAGGAAGACAGAAAATCAAAAGCAGGGGTGGGGATGGGAAAGAGACAGGGGCTTTCACTCCCAGCCTTCAACTCACTGGGCAGAGTATGGGAGATTGCAGAGTCAGTGCCAGGGAGAGGCCTGGGGGTGCATAGCAAATGCTGTGGCACTGACTCCACGGCTCAGGGATAGGAAGATGAGGGAGGGGTTGAGTGCTCTGTGTTTAGGGGAGAGATGGGATGGATGGGCAGAAACACATCCTGGGACTCCTTTCTCCAAGACAAATGGGTACTGGGAGTGGATTGGAATATACTAGAACAACACCCCAGGTGAGTTACCTGACTAGGAATCCTCCGTCTCCAAAGCCCTCCTTCAGCTGTTCCCACAGCCCCACCCACCTGCCCAGGACCCGGGCCCTTGTCCGTCCTCCTCAGTCTCTGTCACACACACGCACACACACACACACACACACACACACGCACACACGCAGGCACACACGTGTACATATGCACACACACACACATACTCACAGAGTTCACATTATTTCCTTAGTCTGGGCAGGAAACAGCTCAGTGCAGTGAAGCTCTTTTTAGTGTTCTTTGTTGTTATATCTGCCTGG